ATTATTTTGTCTTATGTTAAATTGTTAACGAATCATCTACGTGCATGAATTTGTATGGATTTGAGGTTTTCAGTGTGAGGGGCATGGTTGCTCAGATGGACAAAGGGGGACAGACGGCTTCTGTCCCGAACATGTCTGGTTGAAGATGCTCTAGAAAAGAACAGCCGTCATAACTGCGCATCTAGTTCTCAGGTACGCCGCCAGGACAAATGAATCTGATTAGTTGGAACTGCCGGGGTGGGGGGAATCCCCGGACAGTTCGTGAGTTAGCGACTATTGCACAGTCGCATTCCCCCATGTTTGTCTTTCTCTGTGAAACAAGGCAAAAAGCTTCAAAGATGAGAAGAGTTCGCGGTCGGCTTGGTCTGAAGGGTTTTGAAGGTGTTGATAGCAGTGGTATGAGTGGAGGTCTTGCATTTTTCTGGCATGAATCATGCATTGTGGAGATTATCGATAAGGAGGATAGATATATAGACGCCTTGGTGCGAGTAACTAATGATGCGCAGCAGTGGAGGATTACCCTGGTCTATGGTGAGCCGCGGGTGGAGAACCGACATTTGACGTGGGAAAAGCTACAAAATTTAAAGAATGTCAGTGAACTTCCATGGCTTGTGGTGGGCGACTTTAACGAGGCGCTTTGGGACTTTGAACATCTTTCAGCAACGCCTAGACCAGAAGCACAAATGGTAGCCTTTCGTGATACTTTGGAAATCTGTGAGCTAGTTGACTTGGGATTCAGTGGATTGCCCTTCACATACGATAACAGGCGTGCAGCTGCGAGTAATGTGAGAGTACGTTTGGATAGAGCTACATCTACTAATTCTTGGAGGAATCTTTTTCCTTTATATTCTGTACATCATGTTGCTTCGCCATGCTCTGATCATGTTGCTTTAGTGGTGAAGGGGGAGCCTGAAACTGCTCATGTGGGTCCAAAAACACGTCATTATGAAGTTTTTTGGGAAAGAGATGGTGCTTTGCCGGATGTGATAAAAGAAGCATGGGCTTCTGTGGGGTCGGTTGCTAGTTTAGAGCAACTTCAATCGGCCTTGACCAAGACAATGGCTACTCTGGGAGCATGGAGTAATAAAAAATTTGGCAATGTTTCCAAAGAGTTAGCTAAATCCCGGTCGCAGCTAGAGGAACTTATGAATATGAATGCGGATAGACAGGACATACGTACAATTACTGACAAAATGAATGAACTATTATATCAGGAGGAAATGATGTGGATGCAAAGATCAAGAATAACATGGTTGAAAGAGGGTGATAGGAATACGAAATATTTCCAGAGTAAGGCTGTTTGGAGAGCTCGAAAGAATAAAATCCGTGCACTGACCGACAGCATCGGTATTGTCCATTCCGATTTCGGTGAGATGGCTACCATGGCAAATGAGTATTTCCAAGGAATTTTTTCGGCAGACCCGTCACTTGATGCTACCCCCGTCCTCGATCTTTTGGAAGCTAGGGTGTCTGAGGAGGATAATGAGAGGCTGTGTGCAGCCTTCAGCAACAAGGAAATTGCAGATGCATTATTTCAGATTGGTCCTTTGAAGGCTCCAGGTCCGGATGGTTTTCCAGCTAGATTTTTTCAGCGGAACTGGGGCACTCTAAAGGATAGCGTGATTTGTTATGTCAAGGAATTTTTCAGGACTGGAATTATGCCAGACGGGGTAAATTCTACTTCCATTGTTCTGATTCCTAAAAATTCTAATCCTACTAGTCTGACTGATTACAGGCCCATTAGTCTATGCAATGTCATTTACAAGGTTATTTCCAAATGCCTTGTTAATCGTTTGAGGCCACTATTGGATGACATTATTTCTCTAGAGCAGAGTGCATTTATTCCTGGGAGGATGATCACAGACAATGCTCTTGTGGCCTTTGAATGCATCCATCATATTAAACAGGAAAAGGAGCCAACAAGGAGTTTTTGTGCGTATAAGCTTGATTTGTCCAAAGCATATGACAAGGTTGATTGGGTGTTCTTGAAGCAGGTGATGCAAAAGCTGGGTTTCTCTCGTCGGTGGGTGGACTGGATTATGTCTTGTGTCACATCGGTGAGGTATTCCGTTAAATTAAATGGAACCCTCTTGAATTCATTTGCACCATCGCGTGGTCTTCGGCAAGGGGGCCCTCTTTCTCCCTTTTTGTTCCTCTTGGTGGCGGATGGTCTTTCTGCTATTCTTAAACAAAATGTGGCTGCCGGTGATATTACTCCTATCAAAATATGTAGAAGAGATCCGGGTATTTCACACCTTTTGTTTGCAGATGATACTATGTTATTTTTTGAAGCATCACGTGTTCAAGCTGAAAAGGTTAAGCATGCTCTGAATTTGTATAGTAATGCTACAGGACAGAGTCTGAACTTTAATAAATGCTCCATTCTCTTTGGAAGTTCTTGTCCTGCTCCTGTTCAAGAGGAAGTTAGAGAGGTTCTCAATGTCTCTAGTTCTATTTTTGAAGAAAAGTATTTGGGTCTTCCAACTCCTGATGGCCGTATGTCTAAAGGACGTTTCCAAAATTTGCAAATGAGCCTCACAAAACGTCTTATTTAGTGGGGAGACGGGTTCCTCGCTCAGCCTGGTCGAGAGACACTCATCAAATCTGTAGCGCAAGCATTACCCACTTACATTATGGGCGTGTTTAAACTACCCTTTTCTGTATGTGATGAGCTCACTAGGATGGTGAGGGGCTTCTATTGGGGTTCCTCAAATGGTAAACGGAAGGTTCATTGGCGTGCTTGGGATGATTTGTTACAGCCAAAGAATAAAGGCGATGCTGGATTCCGGGATTTTCGTCTGTTTAATCAAGCGTTATTAGCTCGTCAGGCTTGGTGTTTAATTACTAGACCAGAGAGCTTATGTGCACAAGTTCTGAAGGCCAGGTACTATCCAGAAGGGAAACTAGAGGACACTGTTTTTTCTGGGAATGCCTCATCATCTTGGCAGGCTATTTCTTATGGGCTGGAGCTTTTGAAAAAAGGTTTGGTTTGGAGAGTTGGGAATGGCAGGAGCATCCGAGTCTGGCGTGATAATTGGATACCCCGTCCTTTCTCATTCAAACCTATCACGCTTCAGGGCAGATGCCGTATACGTTTTGTGTCTGAATTGTTGAATGCTAATGGTTCTTGGAATATAGGATTGCTACAGGAGTATTTTTTGCCGCCTGATGTGTTGGAAATTATTAAAATTCGAGCTTCGCCCCGGTTGGAAGATGATACACTTGCTTGGGGTCCAGGCAAATATGGTATCTTTACTGTGAAGAGTGCATATCAATTTGCCTTCGATGAAGCTCACAGAATGAATGCAGCGGGATCTAGTTCCTGTCCGGATGGTCGCCGTTCTTGTTGGAACCTTATTTGGTCTTGCGATGTTCCTCCTACAGTTCTAAACTTTGCTTGGAAAGTCGCTACTAATGCTTTGCCGACATGGCAGAAGAAGCACAGTAGGAGTCTGGAGGTTAATGACCTTTGTCCAATTTGTGCTGTTGAGCCGGAAGATAACTTCCATCCCCTCTGTCGCTGCACTTTTGCTAGAGAATTATGGTCAATAATGTCGGAGGTTTGGTCCTTACCTGACTTGGCTGCTATTAGAAATACAGGTAAGGAATGGCTGCTTCATGTCCTTGACCCATTGCCAGAAATCGAGAGGTGCATGCTTCTTATGACTTTGTGGAGGATTTGGCACATCCGTAACGAAGTGTTACACCATAAACCTGCGCCCCCAATGGAAGCGTCCAGGAGGTATTTGGTGAGTTACCTTGATTCCTTGGTTGGTCTTAAAATTGATCTATCTTCTGATCCGAGCAAAGGGAAGTCCTTAGTTACATACGACAGGCCACTTAAAAATCCACATGTTCGAATAGTTGAGAGCACTCCTGTCAAATGGTGTCCCCCTATGGCGGGTTGGGTGAAACTGAATACTGATGGGTCCTTTGCAGTAAATGGTACGGCTGGTGCTGCGAGATGACAAAGGTAATGTCATCTACTCAGCTTGCAGGGAGCTTTTTTCATGCCGAGAAATTCTTGAAGCTGAGTTGTGTGCTTGCATGGAAGGCCTGTCTTTTGCAATTCAGAGAAGCGACTTGCCGATCATTATTGAGATGGACTCCATTATTGCAGTCAAGCTGATTCAAGCGATGGATATTGATAGATCGATCTACTCTTCTTTAGTTAAAGAAATTAGACACCTGATGTCTCTTCGTGATTCTTGTATTACTCATATAAATCGTACGCAAAATAAGGTTAGCGATAGCTTAGCAAAGTTTGCTAGACAAGAGGGCAGAACAATGACCTGGGTTGGGCCAGGCCCATCAGTTTCTTTAGAGCTAGCCGAGGCTGATTGTATGGACATTGAGATTTAAGTAATGCAAAGATTTTACCCGCAAAAAATAATTCTTGGAGGGATAAAAGCCTACTAAACTCCAGGCTACCGCACGTGCGATCAACGAGAATCCCTGACGCTGTAAGCGAAATAACAAGGACCCCTGACAAAAAAATGTGATCAACAAGAGGGTGCGACCGCTTCTGCGTGTCATAAACGTGAGCTGAGCTGTATCACCCCCTCACCGAGTCAAGCAAAGAGCGCGCAGAAGTTCGTCTCCGCTTGAGCAAAGACGGCTTCAGGAGAATCAGCAGCATATATAACACGACTCGACTTTACAGATGACAGAGTGACGCTTTACATGCTCCTCATATCATAATCAATAATGCTATTTGTACAGATTGCTTGCCCCCTACAGCGCCTTGCGCATCGGAAGCCGGAGAGCATCCGATTCCGCCACCTGAATGAATGAAGAACTAATAAATCTTTTTCTTCGTCTGCCCGCCTGTATAGTTCAGTATCCCGTGCGACGTCGTGCTTTGAAAAATGGCTGCCAGAGCAACGGAAACTGCAGGTGTAACCACTGACGAGCATGGAGAAAAAAGTTTATGAAGGGCTTGGATGCTACCTTGTACTGGACCTATGCTCAAGGCTTGTGTATTCGCTGCCGTCAGACGCTCACTTGTAGATGCCGACGAGGAGGATGTCGTATAGTATCGTGGAGTTCCCAGGAATGTTGCAGTCCCCTGTCAACGATTGATATAAGCTTTTCTGAATATGCATGCATGGGCTGAGTTTCTCAGGGGAGAAAACAAGCCAGGTCAAAATGGCACAGCCAATACGCGCAGTTGGCAGGCGGGGATCGATGCATCATATTCATACATTCCTCAACTGGAAACTAGGTTTTCGTTTTGGTACCTGAGAAGCAGCCTGCTGGTTCGGGTCCGTATGCCAAAATCGGAGGTATCATCAGCTTGCGCTTCCCACCTGTTAGCAGTTTCGAGACATCACAGTTCAGGAAAAGGTGAGAGTTTGTTTGGAACGAAATGCCGATGCTTGTAATGTACAGATGGCTGCTGCAGTCTGACAGTACCAACAACCATGGGCGTCACGCCGCCGCCGCCGCCGATCCCCTGTTGAAGCCCTCGGAGGATCTGCAGATGGAAGAAAATAGAAGGGTTTAAGCCCAGACGATCACACACTGCTAAGAGAAAACTCTGCCTGCCTGTCTGCAATAATGAACATTGCATTTGCATCTTTCAGTAGTGAGCGAATGCTGCCCACCTTGCCTGCGCCGATGCGCATCGTCAGTGGCCTCCCGCGCTTGTAGCTGCTGTCGAACACTGTCCCGTCGGGGAACCTCGCCGTGTAGTGTATCTGACAACCACCGAGACAAAACGACGGGTTAAAACTTGAAATCCATCCATCCATCTAGGTGAAGCCAGCAGAGAACACGGCGATCGGCGCAGCTTCAAGGGCACCCACATTGATGAGCTCGCCGCGCTTGGGCTGCACGCCGGTGCCGACTTCGACGTCGCAGTACCCGAGCCCGGACTTGGCGAAGTCCATGTCGCAGAGCTTGTCCCCGACCGTCGCGAAGTACTCGATGCGCGTCGCGTCGGCGTCCCCGGCCGGGCACAGCAGCGCCGCGGAGGCCAGGAACCCCGCGCCCAGCGCGAGCACGCCCCTCCTGCCGCCGCTCGCCGGCGCAGCCGAAGACGTCGACGTCGACGGTGACGGTGACGCCGAGGAGTTGCAGGGCGCGACGGGGGCGAGGGCTCGGCCGCCGCCGGGTCGCGCGGCCGGAGGCGACGGGATTGGGCTGGAGGCCATGAGCGGCAGCGGGGAGATAGGAGGCGGCATGATGATTATCCCCAGACTGTGGCTGCAAGCCGCGCGCGGGCACGCCCGGGATGCTCGTTTTACGCGATGCTGGTTTGCCGCGCCGAGGCCCGGTGGGCTCTCGAAAATTCTTTTTCTTTTACCAGAACAGAGTTCTTTATATTCATTCAAAACATTTTGCGATACAGCGGAAAGTGCTCTTTGATCCCGAGCCCACATGCTCTTTGATAAACAGTAAAATTAAAAAATAATAAAATATTTTGACCTTTTTGTGATAAACATCGATGAATCCTTTAAACTCATCCAAAATTTTGTGATGAAATAACATTCATGGAAGCCTAGGCAACAAAAACCAAATTCGATGCTTCAAAATGCTTTCAACAATAGTTTTTTTTTTGAAACATTGATTTTGCTTATTGGCACAAAACTCCTTGGATGTCATTTCATCACAAAGTTTTGCATGCAGTTGAGACATCCATCGATATTTATCACAAAAAAATCATATACTTTGCCTTTTCTATAATTTTTATTTCACTATTCATCAGAGAGTATATGAGCTCAGGTTCAAAAGCTCTGTGTCATGAAACACATCAAATATCGAGTGAACTACCCTCTAAGGACATTTCCAACACTGGCCCGCAAATTTGCTCCCGCATCCACCCACGGACAAAGGGGCCAGTCCGCGGATACGAATGCGGGAGCCGACTATCCAATGCTACTCAAATACAGTTCAAACCGCCTTTGAACTAACCGGACGAAATTCTTGCAAACTGGTCGAAATTCATCGCAGTTTGGATAGAAAATAGCACAAATCATCCATACATAGCATGCAAATAAGTATAGTACAACAATAGTTCGAATTCAGCGAGATTAACCGGATGTTGAACAAGTTTTTCATGAACGGATCATGTCGTCCCACATACTGCCCCTTCAGCATCATCCAACAGTGTATTACCTAACTGGTCGTCCCTCTTTCCCGTGGTACATCATTGCAGCGTGTACGGGCTACACAGTGCGTAGAGCAACATTGAGTGAATGAATGATTCAATGGTCAAGTTGAGCAAGAAGAAGTAAAACTTACGATCTCCTCCGGTGCCCCGCGCAATGGCCATCTTGCCTCCAGCCGAGCAACCGTATCACAAAACTTGGGGGTTGTTTGGTTTGTGACTAAGTTTGCCACACCTAAGGTTAGGCATGTTTGACCAACTTAGGTGAGTGTTTGGTTCCAGCCACATCTTAGACAAGGCACACTTGGGCCCCACATGGCATACACATAAAAAGTGTGATAAGATCCCCTTAGGCTTGCCAACTTGTGGCTCTTATTTTAATGAACTAATCTTAGGCAAACTTGACAAAAATGTGTGGCAATGCTAGGCCTAGAACCAAACAGCCCCTTGATGACAGTGATCTGGATGACGTACCATCGATTCGATAACGACCTCACATTGCGTTGTTGAATGATATTCATATCGTAGGGCGCAATGTACTTTCACGCGTGAAACGAATCATGCACACACTGCCAGAAGAGCCTTCTTCTGTGCCTGCCTACTAAATCTACGGATGGGTAAATCACAAGCTAATGGATGGGTAAATCACAAGCTAATATACTGAAATATTTACATCCCGTTGCAATATACGGGCATTGTCTATAAGTTAAAAAAAAACTGTTGTGGGCTCCTTCTATCTCGGATGCAAGCTCATCTCACGGCTAAAACAATTTCAACCCCAAACAGCAGCTTCAGCAAAACCGCTATCACAGATCATACATCTAGAACCACAGATTTTTAGCGCGGAACAAAGATTGTAACAAAGCAACGAGCTAATATTGTGTAGAGAAAATATGAAGAAAGTAGTGACATCAACAAACACATTGGGCTGTTTACATGCATCTAGCCAGCCCAAAACAAAAACACAAATGTTCAAATGTGCTGATCCGCCCCCACGGTATGCAAGTCATACAGTACATGCTCACCAGATGATTCCCATAGCATACAGAGTATTATTACGAAGTCCAGCATGGTACTAGGGCTAGCCAAAACCCGGCACGAGAAAAACCACATGAAATCCGCGGCACCACAAATGTGATGGGGCGTCTAAACAAGCTAGAAGTCAAATGGGGAGGTTTACCCATGTGTTACTTCTTCTGCTGTTTCTTCCCCGGCTTCAGCTTTATGACCTCGTCGATGTACAGTATGCCCTTCCCCTTGTACACTTCTGGAGGTTTACTGCATCGGACAGCTCCAGCGAAATGGTGCACTCTATGCTTGTCAATGCCAGTACAGCATATTATGTTGGGCTTGAAGCAGAAGACGCGGACGGCAGGTGGAGCGGTGAACTGCACCTCATGGCTGTAGCCCAGTTTCAGAAACAACTCGCGGCCTTCGCGCTCTGTCCTGGCTTTGAAGCCAACTCCAACAAGCTTCAGGAACCGAAAGAACTTGGCTTCCATTGCGAGATGAGAAGTCCGAACGAGGATGAAATATTTGTTTCCGGCTTGACCTTGACAAAACAAGGACAAAAGGTTCATCAGAAAATTGAGCACTAATGTAAAGAAACAGGAGTACCATCATGCTGCAAGTATTGAGAATTCGATGTATACACACGACCGTAGTTAAAATAGGTTGTTTTCAGAACATTGCAAGAAATTCGGTACAATATACACAAGTACATCCCGTAATTTCATGATTTCATCTCACAAAGATTGAAATGTATGCCTCAACAACTCTGACTGAAATAAATACAGAATGAAACAGCAACTCTGAACTCTGAAGCCCTACTCAGTTCCTCAACTATCAAAGATAGGAGCAATCACCAAATAGAGTTCATAACTGCCTAATTATATTATCTCTAAACAAAGGAGGATAGAAGGTTCATCAGAAAATTGAGCGGTTACGTAAAAAATAACAGTAGTATGATCATGCTGCAAGTACCGAGAATTTGATATATAAATACGAGGCCGTGCTTAAATCGATTATTTTCAGAACATCGCAAGAGATTTGATACAATATATAGGAGTCTATCTTGTAACCTCACCTCATAATGGATGAAATGTAATGATTCAACAACTCTCAATGAAATAACTAAAGAATGGGAACAGTAATTCTGAACTCTATCAGTTCATTCCATTATCTCATCTCACAGAGGATGAACCAATTCAACAACTCTTACTGAAATAACTATGAAGGAATGAAAGCAACAACTCTCAACTCTGAAGAACTACTTGACTCCTCAACTATCAGAGATGAGGGAAGGCACGAATCAGAGATTCAGAGTACACGACGGCATGATTATCTTATCTCAAAACAGGGAGTATATACCATTCCAGGTTAGATACCAAGTGGCAAGCTAAAATGCATTGATATGGATACGTAAATTCACCATTTTGGAAAAGCACCAATACGGGGATATGTTATATTTTTAATTCACAAAAAATGTATAGAAGCTAGGAACAGAAGATTACCTTCTTGTTTGCTCTACTGGATGCCGAAGCAGGTCCAAGCCTCTGCAATTGACAGTGTTGATGCCCTGTTTCAATTCCAAGTTCCAAAGGGATAGAATTAGACTTTTAGTTACTGTAAAATGAATACGAAGCAGCAAATTGAATCATTCGTTAGCTGTACATCCATCATGGCATAACACGAAAGGTGGAACCTGAAGATCAATCAGCTAACATGCAAAAGGAGAAACAATCACTTCAAACGGTAATATTTTAGGTCTGGCTGTTAAAATCAACAACACAGTGTAACAGTACCACTATATTCCCAATCATAAACAAGAATTGGAACATCTACCATGCCAACAATACCACTAGTACTTATGTGTTCACCAATTTCCGCCAGTATAACCAAGACAAAAGCTCCTGCTCTCTCAAATTGCGGCTAAGCTTTGACTTCAGGTCAAGATAGTGCAGATAGAACAATTTAATCTTTTTCTTTTCATATATCGTCAGTCGTTGCATGTTTCAGTGCTAGCATGTTTAAACTAAAACATTTGCTCATCTGAAAGAAATTCGAACTAGCATTTGTACACATTTGCCCCTACAAGCATTATCACAAACACCTGTCAAGCAAAATCCTTTCACATGTAAACTTGAACACGCACTGGAAATAATTATGCAGCAAGTACTCATCAATAAATCATTATCATTATATCCTCAGTTTCTCGCAATATCAAATTTACAGAGAGTACTCATCTAATACAAAAAATCCGGGAAACAATGGAACAAACAGAGGATGCAAGAGGAAGGATAGAGGGGGGATGAGGGGAGAGGGGGGGAGGGGGGAAGGCTGGAGGAGGAAGGGCGAAGTATATGGTGGCTACCTGCCTATGGAATGGTCGACGGCGTAGATCCGGGCGGCGACGTTGCTGGGCGTGAGCGGCTGCTCCAGGGAGGTCGGAGGGAGACGCTGCTGGTAGGAGCCCGCTGTCCGCGCTCGGGAAGGACTCTGTTTTTTTTGTTTTTTTGAGCGGTGGCTAGGGCTCTGCTCGTTCGCTCGCTCGGGAACACAACGACTTGAGACAAAGAAAATGGACCGAATTCAAGGCCCAGTTTGCATTAGATCGTATTCACATCACATGTCTTTTTTTAATATGCGTTTTGAATTTGGGTATAAATTTTTTATTCCAAGGTAGACATGTATTGTATTTGTATCCTCACGAAATCCCATAATTTTTGAAAGTCTATAAGTATGTTACGGAGATTGGGTGCACCGTATTAGGAGCCTCCCTCACACATGTAGTAGAATAGACACC